GGTGGGGGGGGGGGGGGAGAGAAGAGAAGAGAAGGTGATAATCTACCATAGTCTGGAGAATGTAATGTAAAATAAAATGCAGTTTATGATCTGCTTAGAAATTTTTACTGAAGTAAAACAACCGATTCTTCAAATTTAAGTAGGCTTTAATAATTTAGTAGATTCAAATTGCTAATTGCATTCACAAGATTTCCAAATAATAATGGTGCTTATTTCCATTCCCAGAACAGACTTCAATAGTGAAAATCAGCACCCATACAGCACATTAATCTAGACAGGAAAAAAGTGTTGATCTTCCTTCATAGCTTGATATTGCTCCTCAATGTCTGCAAGTCATGCAGGATTAAGCACTCATGAAGAATAAAAGACTTTATCCAGTATCCTATTAATTTATACTATTAACAGTAATTCATATACAAAAAAATACTATTCATTTACACAAACATTACTGTTAACATAAATAAATTAATAGGATGTCTCTGCACTGTCTTTAATGGACCTTTCTTTTTGCCAGTATTGCAAAACCATATTCCTATTTGGAAAAAAATCAGTGGCCAATTTCTCATCACTTCCATGAAAGCAGGTTTGTCCCACAGAGTCACCATATTAAAAAAAACATTAAAAAAAAAAAAATTGCTCCAACTCATTGACTTCAGTAGGACAGTGTAGTGTGTAAAAATAAGAAAATGCATACATCTTTACAGGATTAGCACCTAAGTTTATATTAACTTCCTATATAGCTGAAAGTAATTAATTGTATCAAAGATACATGAAGTTTTTGCAATTCTGGCTTCCAGTGCTCTCTGATAACAAAACTGCCTCTGTCATGGTCCTGTTTTGTATCATCTGTGTGATGTGAAATGTATTTACAATAGCAGCTAAGGGGAAAGCCCAGTTCACTAAAGGGAGACCAAGAAATGCTTGCAGATATTTCTTAAGAATTTTCTTATAAAATTTTTTCTTCATGCCTGTATTATCTATTCTTAAATATTTAGCCATGTGCAGTGGAAAAGCTATCACTGGTGTTTTATAGAAAAATAAAAGAACAAAGAAAGAAGCAAAAAGAGGTGGAACAAAAGCCTGACCATTTTTTTCTTCTGTAATTGGAAATCTGTATGAGAGAATCTGATATGATATGAAGAGCATACAAGGAATCAGAGAAACAATTTGTATAGGACTCTAATAAAATGTTTCTCTTGTAAAAATCTTGTGTGTTTCATCCAGGTATAAAACTCGTAAAACCCTACCCAATTTTACTTTTGCTGTTTTGAAAATATTTTTTGCTAAATCTCAGCTAAAGCAAGTAACAAAAAGCCTAAATAAAACAATAGTGAAATGCAGTGTCTTCAAACTATATGAAGTGCTATATGGAGAGAGGCACAGGTTACGCGGACTTGTATGCTGGGAAGAGACAGACAGAAATGGTGGGCTAGGCCTAGACGTACACACGGACGCACGCAAGCGTAGCCTGACCATCATCAGATAAGGAACAGCTGGGTTCTTCAAGGGAGAATTTAAGAGTCCCTGTATCTTCCAATCATCTTAAAGTTGCATGGCAAAATAATCTCCTCAGAAACAGCATGTCCCCAGAGGAATAAATATAAAGCCAGGAGGACAGCATTACAGACACGATGGTTTATGAAAGGCTGGTTTTGTAAAGCAGAAGCTGATTCTCAAAACTGACCTGCAGAGATTCTGTAAAACCAAACAGAAGGAAATTGCTGTGCTTGAAAGTGGAGCTGCCCCTTTATCTTTCCTTTCCAGTGGAGTTGTGTGCCAGTCCTTCAAGGATACAGAATTGTGATGGTGGAAGTAATGTGCTTGCTTTGTTTAACATAAGTACTCGTGCTAGGAGTCACTTATCTGTAGAGCACCAAAAGCAGGTCTGCCGGAGCCCAGAAAGGCAAAAAAAGTAGTGAGAAGAGGCAGTGGTTTTGTGGATGACACTCAAGCAAACAGAATGCAACTTAGTATATTTGGGAAAGTATAATACTGAACACTCACAAAATACTATTTAAACACAAAGAACACTGACATAACCATAAACTCACTGAAGGAAGGACTGGGAGGAGCCTTGAGAAGCCATCTGCTCCATCTCTCCACTTCAAGATAGGGCCAATTCTACCTAAAATATTTATCATAGCCACTTCTCTAACCTCCTTACAAAAATCTTTCAAGAATAAACCGTTGACTAATGCAGTCTATTCCAATGCTTAAGGAACATGGCCCCACCACCCAAACACCTAACCTAAATGGACTCTTGATAAGACAAGACCAAGCTTAAATTTCAAGCACAGAGGACACAAAACCTAGTTTATTACATTCTTCCCTGCATGTCCATTAATTTTTTTTAAGGAATCTGTGTTTTACAGAAGATTCAGATGAAGTTTCACATGGGTCTTTGCACAATATTTCTTAAACTCTTTTCTCCTTCCCATACTCCTAAAAAACCTGACCAAACAAAAAACCACAGAAAAACCTAAAACCCACAAGAACGAAAAACAAAAACAGCCAAAAGCAGACCACTTGTCATGAAGTTTTAAAAGTCTTTCTTTTGTCAGCTATTTAGCATGCATGAGGCTTAAACCACTTGCAGTGTGCAGACCCTGGTATTCTGTCAGGTATGTTGCCTCAATGACATAGCAACAGTTGGGGTAAGTCACTAAAAAAAAATTTTAGTGGGGTACATGCATTTTACATTAGCATGTAATAACACATTAGAACTATAATACTGTGCAATGAAGGACTTAACTGGAAACAGCATTATGTCAGTAGTTACAGAGCAATTGTGTTATTTGTACTCATTAAGCAAACCAACATAATGATGCAAGAAGTTTAAAGGATGATCCCAACTTCAATATCTAGTTGTTTATGTAGTAGCTTTACGTTGTAGATACTTTGTCATTATATACCAATATAGTTCAGTCGACAGTTTCCATGTTAGAGGAAAATGTTATGAAAGATAATGAACAGCATTATACTCCTGTAACATCAATTTAAAGTGAAATGTAATCTTTTCTTCTTTTCTTGATTTCTACATTTCCTGCTCTACCTTCTCAAACATTTAGCCATCAGGGTCTGAGAGTGTTCTCTCTATCTTAGAATTAAAGTGTTCATTAGACATGTAGTCCAATAATGGAAACATCTAATGAGAGACATATGATAAATTGATGAAGCTCTCATATGTGTAGAGGAGGCATTCCTCCTGTGATACTCCCCAGGGTGTAAGAAATTCAGAAGCTAATTTTAAAGTAATAATGGAAATTCGGTGCAAGTCCTCTATCGAACTGGTCACAGGGTGTCACTGTTACTCTTGGCATGGATGATGCTCGCTATAGCTGTGTGATCCATAAATGCTGCAATACCACAGAGATGGGTCTGGAAGTATTTAACAATACGATGCATTTTGACAAAAGAAAAAGACCATTCTAAAGACATCACTCTGTAAAATCTCAATAAAGGCTGATGTTTAGTTAAGCACAATTCTCTGATGGTTACTGTGATGGTCCTTCAGACAATGAGCAAGGAATGCTGAGTGGGGACCAAAGCTCTCTGCTACCTTCTGTCATCAGAACTTTGGTCAACACAAAGCATAAAAAACCCTAAACTCCCAAACCCACAAAAAAACCTCAGGGGCAGTTCTTCTAAAGCGTAAGATCTTAAATCAAGCACAGCTCAAAGAGCAACACACATTTCACATTGATGTCTCAGGAGCTGCTGCAGACATGCAGAAGAGGTTCCTCTCCCAGCACTACCTCCATCCCCTAAGACTGACGTTGGCTGAAAGACCACAGGGTAATCTGAACAGTTCCTACCAGATGAAGCTCTGGACGCAGCACAAAAAGCTACTCTCAATCCATGCAAGGATGATCTCTATAATTAATACAGTGGAATAGCCTCAAACACTGCAAAATATGTGGGAGAGCTGTAACTTTTGCTAGCATAGATCAGTGAAAAACTGTTTTGAGCTCAGCAGAGCATGTGATATATACCAAACCATGCTCTAGTTTAAGAAAACTGAAGTAGTAATTGTCATAATACAAAAAGCCTGACCTGGAGGAGAGGATAAGTAGGAATTACTGGTGAGAGAGGAGAAAGCAGATTTGCTTGTTGTAGAGTGACAGGAATGAAAATAACATGCATCATGCACTGCTATACATACTCCAAACAGTTACTCTCATGAAACCTGACTTCAATTTCTGCTAAGGGTCATTTTCAAATGCCATTGCAGTAAACATGCTTCCATTATACGCAACTGAAGTTGAAGCAAACTACAAATGAAGCCAGATTTTAGAGACTTTGCTGTCTCATTCTTGTGCTACCATTTCCTGGTA